CTCTTGACATTGTCTATTATTCTTCATTATGTATAAACCTATTTCATGGATTAGGGTTATGGTTTTTAAGGGGGGAGAAGAAGACAAATAGGTTAATTTTGGTGTTGGACTTCATTATTTAAAGAGATTAATTTCAAGAAATTCAACTCCAACCTGATATCACAATTGATATAGATGATGAAGACGCTACTCTAGAATTGCCCAATAAAAAGATAAAGGTGGAGAAAGATTGATCCCTACTCAATTAAAACATGAAATAAAAAGAATAAATGATAATATTTTTTGAACATTTTATACTATAACTTAATTTTTGAGTAAAATTAGGAATTTTTAGAATGAATTTCCATGCAAAATTTTTAGTATTTTTGCATGCTTATGTGATTTCTTTTATCACATAAAATTATATTGTAGTTACCATTAATCTTTAGTTTTGTCTTTTTATTATTTGAAAGTTATCAAATAATGTTATAGGTTGACGATCTCATATATTATATATCATATATATATATTATATTATATATATATATATAGTATATTATATTATATATAAGTCTATCAAAACTAATGTAGGTTTGAGATATCATATATATTATAATAATATATATATATATTATATATATATATATAATATATATATATATATATATTATACTATAGAGGTAGAGAGAGAGGAAGAGAGAGAGAGAGGAGAAAGATTAATGGGTTCTTGTCATTAGGGGGGATTTCCTTCCTTATGGACGCCTCTAAGATCACATGATTGAGCGGACAATGTTGCTGGATGATCCGCCTCCGTATAAACGTTGATCTACATATTCTAAAACTCTAACACGCCAAGTTTGGGGGGTGAAGCCTGTCGTCGGTTTGACCATCATCCTCGTATTCAAGTTTTAACGTCTTTGAATGAATTAGGAACTTGTTCACATGGCCCTCGGAGATTGGAGGTCAAACGGACGACGGATTCACCCCAAACTTGAACGTGTGTTGGGGGTGGTTTGGAAGTATGTAGATCAAGTTCAACGGAGGCGGATCTATCCATAGATGTCACTCAATCATGGGTGATTTTAGAGGCTGTCAAAAAAATATATAAAAAAAAATAATAAATAAAAAAAAAATAATCCAAAAAAAAAAAAAAAAAAAATAAAAAAAATAATATAAAAATAAATAGATAAAAAAAAATAAAATATATAAATAATAACGGAGGGAATCCCCTCCTATGACGAAGATACCCATTCAATCTTTTATTATAATTATATACTATTATTATATATATATACTATTATATTATATATATATACACACACACACACACACCACACACAACACATATATAATATATTATATAGTATATATTATTAATATATATTATATATATTATATATATATATTATACACACACACACACACACATACATACATAATATATTATATATATATATATATATATATATATATATATATATATATATATATATATATATCGTATGCTTTTGAGATTGTTTATTATAAACATGAGCTTATAATGTTGAAAAGTGCAGTGTAATTCTATTTTCAATGCAATAAGAAATGTTATTTTTTTATTGTTAGAACTATAGTTCATAATGATATTGTTATTCATCCTTGGCTCCATACTACAGCTTAGGATTAGTAGAGTTTAGAATATGACATGTAGTATCAATTTAATTTATTTTTCTTTACTATTCTGCTTGAAGATATTATTATGTCAGCTGATATTTTTTCTGCAGAAATCAATTATGATATCTCAGTTAAGTATATTGATCCCAGTTTAGCACAAAAATCCATTACATCAATTTTTTATAATGTTTAAATAAAAATTATAACAAATCTAATAATTAAAATAAATCTGACTTACTTATAGTAATAAAATAAGAAATAAATTATTTTGATATTAAACCACGTGCAATGCACGTGCATAAAAACTAGTAACCAAAAAAAGAGTAGGTGTCTCTGCTGTGCTGCTCCCCAAAGTTGCTTGGCAAATTTGGCAAAAATAATAAGTTGTAGGAACAGTTACAATGCGTGTACAAAGACCACACGCATTGCACGTCACTCAACTAATTATCCAATCTATATTCAATTCTTGTTAATTAAATCAATGATCATTGAACTAAACAATATGCATTGACTTCTATTTGTGATCCAGATGCCTGTACTTCTCTATAATAGTTGGCCATATATATATCTTTTGATTAACTGCTTGTCTCTTCACCATGTCTTTTATTTATTTTATTATACTTGCGGCATCTTAACTAAGATATGGGCTCACTCTATTGCCCCTGTATCAATTCACACATTTTTTTCTTATATGCTATGTAGTTATCCTCCAAATAATTAATTAAGAATGAAAATATGGTAATGTGTAAAGGAACAATATATAAGCAAAAGTACATAATAATTTACTGCATACATACACAAAGTTACATAGTGTGCATTTAAAATCATCAAACAAGCACATGCACTAGTTATTCTTGATGAAGCTAGGACGACAACATTATTTTTCCAACAAAACAAAACGCACAACATTGGGACGATATTTTTTTTCCGAAAAAAATATCGATCGCTATTTAGCATAAACCGTAGGAAACGTCTATGCATGTACCAATGGAAACACTGTGTATAAAACAACAACACCCTGGATCGCATTCTTCAGACGAGTTGACACAAGGGAAACCGCATTCATAATCAGTTGAAGTACCCTTAAGCATAGCTTTTGAGAGCTTTAGCTTCGCCGCGAGAGCATCTACGTTAATGTTATCACCAACTTTGTCGGCTATTGATATGGAGGCCAGGGGAAGGACAAGCAGCGTCGTAATAAGAATAAAAGCGTGAAATTTTTTAGCCTCCATATTTCTTGGGTGTAATGAATAGGAGTTTGCACGATAGCCATCTGATATAGACCTATGGCTTGTTGAGCATGCCTGAAGTGACCAAGTAGCTAGGGTTTTAAAATATGAGGTCAACTACTATGATACTTAATTCCAACTAATGTATTACTCCACAAATAAATGTACAACCTGATCCATATTTGATGCTGGTCAATTCTTAATATTTAGGTGTCTTGTTTATATTAAGTAAATGAATTAGGTGACTAATTAATAAAGAACAAGGGGATTGGATCGGGTCAGATTGAACAAGGCATGTGAATGCTCCCTTTCTCCCGTACCTTTGCACTTTTTGCAAGGAAAGGTAACATGGATCTTGATTGAAGGAGTCAGAACTAGGAAAGAAGAGCCCTTGTCCAAGCCATTATCTTAAGTTCATTAAAAACCATGAGACAGACTTCTTGTCTCGGGTTTATTTTGAATTCAAGACAGAATTTCTGTCTCGGGTTCAGATGAACCCGAGACAGACTTGCTGACTCGGGTTCAAATGAACTCGAGATAGACTTGTTGCCTCGGGTTCAGATGAGCTCAAGGAAGACTTTCTATCTAGGGCTCACAATAACTCGAGACAGACTCTCTGTATCGTGCTCGTCTTGAATTCGAAACAGACTACCACATATTTGTTCTAACGCAACGGTTTATAATTGTCGCATTAGCATCTAAACCGTTGAAGTTGCACAAGCGCAGCGGTTAGCAAACTGTCTTCATTGCTGACGTTGCCCTATCCATAAGGCAGCGGTTGCAAAACATAACGCAACGGTTTCTAAGACAAGGCTAACACAACGTTTTTCACAAATGCAACGTTTTCTGTAGCGGTTTACTGATGCCTAATGTAGCGGTTCCATACACAAAGGCAACAGTTATTGCAAATGCAACAGGTAATTTCTTGATACCTAATGTCGCGGTTTCGTACACAATGGCAGCGGTTTTTCCAAAATAAGGGACCAAAGGCAACAGTTGTTTTGTAGCTAATGCGACGTTTTGCTTTGCTATGGCAACAATTTTATAAAGCTATGACAACAATTTTATAGGGCTATATTAGCTCTTTTCAAGAAATTTGACCAATAAGCAAACACAGTTACGTAAACCAAAATAAAAATGGAATAAGAACACACTACATTAAGATATCATCAAAATAAAAAATAATGAAGCATTCATATGTTTTAAGCCCATCATTCAAAAATAAGTAGTTACAAGATAACTTCAACCCATCAAAATATGATCAATTCACAACCATCAAAATATGATCAATTCACAAGTACAAGTCCGTTCCAAAATATTTATATATCAAAGCTATCTTGACCGCATTCTCCTATCACTACCACATATTTGCTCTAACGCAACGGTTCAAAACCGTTGCGCTAGCTATAGAACCGTCGCCCTTGAGCAAGTGCGACGGTTCTCAAACCGCCTCATATGCTGCCGTTGCCCTACCTCTACCGTAACGGTTTTGAACTCTATTGCGACGGTTTTTTGAACCGTTGCCCCCGCATCTAACGCAACAGTTTTAAAAGGTAAGCGATTTTTAAGCCATTGCAACGGTTTTGATTGAGCTATTGCGACGGTTTTTAAGCTATTGCAGCGGTTTTGATTGAGCTATTGCGACGGTTTTCAAGCTAATGCAGCGGTTTTTTAGATATTACAATAGTTTTAAAATACCTAACGTAACGGTTTTAGTAGGCTAAAGCTATGGTTTTGATAGAGCTACGGCAACAGTTGGAGCTATTGCAACAGTTTTAAAAGACCTAACGCAACGGTTTTAGTAGGCTATAAGTATGGTTTTGATAAAGCTACGGCGACAGTTAAAGCTATCGCAACAGTTTTAAAAGACCTAACGCAACAGTTTGGATTGAGCTATCGCAGCAGTTTGAATCGAGCTATCGCAGCGGTTTTGATCGAGCTATCGCAACGGTTTTAATCGAGCTATTGCAACTGCTCAATCGAAGCTGTTCTTGGTTTCCTACGTCAAAATAATTATAGTATTCAATTACCTGGACAATCTTTTTAAGAACATGGCCAAGTCAAATTTTAATACACAATATAAAAGTGATTATGTTAAGCATAATCAACCATAATGATAAGTGCCAACATACATGAGTATAGTATAAAAACTACAAAGTATTAAATCCACACTACCAACATTTCAACTCAGAAAATATCGTACCGAACTAACATTCAAACATTGTACATCAACATTTGATTACAAAACATGAAACTTCTCGGTCAAAGACTATATTCTCTATTTGTTTCCAAAAACTTGTTCCTCAATGTCAAATACTCACTAGGAACCTGTCAGTATCAATCTCAATCTTGGCTTTCATCATTTCTGTACCTGTGTAAATTTCCATGAATCAGCATAATTTTTGCAATGATGATAATAAAATTGGGGAAAAAAGATGTTTGAAAAGGAAGTTAAGAGAACAATGTACATCATGCTTGTTTGTTGCCACAACCAAATCCAACCATTTTAACAAAAAAGGCTAAAGTTATCAAGAGCATCTAATCACAGCCATATTCGTCACCCTTATCATCCATAATCCCAACAGGGAATGAGCAAAGGGGGTCTTTTTTAAGTCACTTAAACATTATTCGGACAAAGCGGCGATAAACCAGTTTAGTTACTAAATAGGTTTAGTTATATGAACAAAGGAAATAAAATCACTAAAACATATGAGTTATGCCGTCCTCAGTGACTACCATGGACTCTTTGAGGTATTATCACAAAACTATCACATACTTTTCTGAAAGCACATGGGCAGCGTTCTACTGATTTGAAAGTTATGATATATTTCTCTAATTGAAGTAGTTTGCATATGATACAAAAAGTGATATCTTGTGTATCGTTAGATGCTTCCAAACATGTACAGCTAGTGATATCTTGTGTATCGTTAGATGCTCCCAAACATGTAACCATTCGTATATTTCACATAATAAATGTACTGCATGTATACAAAAAGCACTAGGCATGCACATATAAGTTAGGCCATTGGTGATCTAGATTATCAGGTATTCGGATGAGTTCAATGTTGGGCATCTGTGCATGTTTATCTGCTGGGGAGAAAGATCCTTGGTAATAAATGTATGAGTTTACAAGTACAAAGCTAATGCAATAGCATGAAATAATAAAATTGGGGAAAAAAGATATTGCAATTATTCAAAATAAATAGCTTAACATAAAGGAAATAATCCACCTGCATCAAAACCTTCCATTTGAGTAAAATAGATGGCTACAGATTGCTAAGGGTCTCCATCAAACAAGCCCTTTTGCTTTTCATTCAAATGACAATTCCTGCATGGAAGTAAGGGACTTTCATTAACATTTTTTGAACTACAAATAACCATTTTCTGCAAAAGATTTGACAAAAAAATATCAACAAAAATAAAATGTCATTATGGTTAAACATCATATCTACATACATGTTATGCAATCAAATATTTTGTGCCACAATTTCAGAGCTAGGGTTGCATGATGTTGTGCAAATATTATCAGCTCCCCCACTTGCCAGTGCGCTGTAAATTTAGTCGGGATCCCCCAACTATATTAAAGATCGTACAATCGACAATTATTAGACAATAAGCTAAGAACTTGATGGTCTGCACATTTACTACAGGAGGTATGTAGAATATCAAACTCCAGGCATAATCCCCAAAATACTACAATGGCACACATATCATCATCTCAAGCACATGCACATGAACACGCAGATGCAGACACACACACGCACAACCACACGCATGCACGCACACATTATCATCTCCCTGATGTTACTTATATGATAATCTGTTGCCAGTGGCATTTTTACTTTGCATACAGAGAATTCCTTTATTACTTGATTAATATAATCATTATCTTCTATATTTTTGCCTTATAGAACAAGGTTTACTATGCTGATCATAAGGCCAGTAACTGACGTCAGAGTGTTCAGATACCTTATTTTCTTGAAGATTCAGTAACTTATCTTGGCTTTGAATAAGTGCTTCAAGTCGTATCATGTATTGGCTTTGCGTAAAGTTGTAAGCATGTCAAGAATGGTTCCATCAGCTAGGACAACTTCGAGGCCTGAAAACAATATTCGGGTATCATATTCTTGTCTCCATTTTAATGAATATATGCATTTATTTGATATCAAAATATTCCCTTTCAAGAAAAGTTTTATTGTCGTTGCTGATGAGATATTTGAATTGAGTGTTCTTGTTGGTTGGTTGCATTGAGTTATACTAAAGCCATCGTATCAAATTTAGGAAGGACGGTCCTTTAAAATTAACAAAACAAAATAATTGATAATAATCTTGACCTTAATTGCCCATTCGTGAAAGCGAGCCTCCAAGCTGAACAATCATGGGTACATGCCTGAGCAAAATGGTACTGATTGATAATTGTCAACCATAAGAATCACACATAGATGAAAATCAAATTATGGAGGATTAAAAAAATCAAAGCACATCACTCTCTTCATGCACAAAACAAACTTCCTCATATGTATTTGCATTTAGCAGTGCATCATTTACTAGTGCCCATTGCACATGACAGGTGAACATGTTCTTGTGCCAGTTTCCGTACCCAAGAAAAAGAGTATTACTATCAACATTCAAAAAACCACAATATTCATTTCTTCTTAAGTCAGTAGTACCTTACCTATTATGCAGACTGTTAATCACACTCATCAAGAAACCAGCAAATACTATTTTCTAACATATAGAAATGCTAAACCAATAACTTGCATCACTTGGGAGTTAGAATGATACAAAACAGCCATAAACGCTAAAAAAAATAAAAAATAAAAAAAACTAGATGGCATATTGACAGCAACATTTTTGCAACAAAAAATGTACCAAGAACTTGCATCAAATTTGGTGAATATAACACACACTAATAAAATCTAAGTCAGTCAAAAGTATTAATGTGAAGTACACTGTGGTGTGTTCCTCGCAATAAAAGTTTAATAGCATGTTATTCTTACCAAGAATATTTCCATGAAGTGATCCATAGCGTATAAAGTGCAAGCCTCCCGCATTTGTTGATATGTTTCCACCAATTTGACAGCTTCCTTTCGCTCCCAAATCAAGGGGCGTTACGAACCTACATAATATGCTAACATGTTACAATCTATGTAAATCAAAATATAAATTATTAGGACTACAATCATTATCTCAAATCTGCAATCATACAACGAAACTTATTAATATACAACTTGATGATTCACCAGTAAAAGAGAATCTGAATAAGTTGACCGTGAAGTGCCTAAGCCTAAAAAACACACTTAAAAGGTTTTTAAGCATTTAACAACCTCAGGAACGTAGCAATCAACACAGTAACAAATTTCAAATACATCTAAGCACTTCAAATACCATATAATTATATTTTTGAGCTGAATCAGTGATTAGAGTTTTTTTAAGGGTTAGGGCAAAAGAAGCGGGGATTTTTATCAGAGGAAGAAAGTATTTGGAACTGTTACATTAGAACTGTTATGTTAGAACTGTTACGTTAGAGCAAATATGTGGTAGTGTCATGTAAATGATATCAGATTATATTAAAAGCTACCATGTAGAAAATATTCTGAATGGATCACAAATAACATGCTAAAAAAGTTCATAGCACAAAGACCTGTTGTACTCGAACAATGGATTTTTGTCCTTTTACAAAAACATACCATAATTGGACATCAGACCCAACAAATTATGCACCATCCATCATGATCTCACAGGAATTAAGTTCAAACAAACCATTTCTTACCAGGGACTTTTTTATAAGAGAAAGTATTTGGAACAATAGTAATTGCATAAAATTGATATAATAAATTAAGGTTATACCTGATCCCATTTTGGTGGTATACATGCTACTATTTATAGCATAAACTATAACTAGAAAACCATCAACAATATAGGACTCGCAGATAGAGAAGTAGCATATGTGTATATAGAAGCGAAGTTCCATGGTCCAAATTTCTCTGCCAATTCTTCCTCAAATTCAAGAGTCCTCTGCAGTGCCTGAAATGGAGATAGACATTATGAACACTCAAAATGGTAGAACTAAAAAGTAGTCCTTGAGATTTAATTGGAAAGATCTCCCCATGTACTGTAGGATTTGATCCAGGGCGCTGTCGCTCTGGGAATGGAGGAGGAAGTGAGTTTTGGCATCGACGGTGATGGATGGGGTGCTGTTGTTTGGGCTGTCGGAGGACTTGTGCAGGAGATTCTTCTTCTTGAAGACTTGGCAAACCACCCATCCGTCTTCTTGATTATTTGCTTCTCCCATCGTGTTGGCAACCTGAAGGAGATCGTGTGTTTTTGGTTAATTGGGAGTAGTTGAGTTTCCATCTTGTTCCAGATGCATTCAAATATTAATGGTACAGTGTTTTTGGTTAATTGGGAGTAGTTGAGTTTCCATCTTGTTCCAGATGCATTCAAATATTAATGGTACAGTCACTGAGTCAAGATATAGTTGTATTTTCAAAGATTATGGAAAATAGAATAACATATTGGAAAAAAAAGTCACTGAGTCAAGATATAGTTGTATTTTCAAAGATTATGGAAAATAGAATAACATATTGGAAAAAAATATAAACTTACCGTTGTGTACGTATTCAAATTGAATAGTGCTTCGAAGAAAAAAATTAACTACGTACATGACGTTATCAATATACTTTCAACTGTAACTAGTCTTAACCGAACATCGTCAGTACGCTTTTAAACTCCTTTATTAATAACTTGAAGGTAAGGTTGAGGTATGTGATATGTTCATACATGCTGAGCATACTTTTCATGGATCCAATTCTTGGCTTGGATAACGACTACCGCGGCTATTCTGCATACGTGAGAAATGGAATCTGAACCTAGTTTGCTCTCGTACTATACAAAAAATTTAAGATGGTGATGGAAGTTGCGGGTTATAATTTTATGCTAGCTAGGAATGAAAATGTAAAAGTTGAAAAGGTAACATATGTATAGATTTGGGATTTACTTGTACATAGGACGGAGAGTTGGACTCATCCAGCCTATACTCATGCATAATCCAATCAGACTTCTGACCGTGAGGAGCCCTTCCTTTATAGAACACAAGGGTCTTGCGCGTGCCAACCCTCTTGCGTCCGTAAGTTGATGACTGCAATAGCAAGTAATAAGTTAGGCGAGTTACAGAGTATAGCAGAAGCAAACAAAACTGTTAATTACGAAATGTTATCACAGCAAAAATAGTAACATTCAAATATGTACAAACTTTCAGTATATTGGAGGATCATCGACAGTGTGAAAATGATTCTAGAGTGTTTTCTGGTTCATTTGTAGCTGACAAGCTTGCAGCAATCAACCAGAAATAATTGAGGGAGCATGATAAGCTCTCACTCAATATCCCGCAGAAAATCAAAAAATTTAAAGATCAATAAAACAATGATTCAACAGTTACTTAAATCAAGATATAAGTAAATCCCCTCAATTTAATTAACCCACTTCCTAACCTAGTAGCTAATCACAACCAACATTCTGTCATTACCCAATAGAAAATAAATAAATCCAATTTTTGAGAAGAAATAGCTTTTACGTTAATGAATCTTACCTCAGGGATCGACGAGATTAGTAGCTTGACGACGTTATCCGCAGCACCTAAGAAAAATGAAGAAGAGATTTTTAAAGATAGAAAGGGGGAAGAAATTGTAGAGATCAGAAATGAAAGGAACTGGAATCGGAAATTTTGTACCTTGACGGTGAGATTAGTAGCTTGACGATGACGAACAAGACTGGAATGGCAACGAGAGTAGCATGACGACGAGATTAGTAGCTCGAAGATGAGATCGGAGAGATTGGAGAGAATGGCAAACCCTAGAAAACGGGGACTAGCTCGACGACGAAACCAACGGCGACGAGATCGGAGAGATCGGAGAGGAGCTTGGAGATGAGATCCGATGCGAAAACAGCGACGAGATCTTGGCCACGGCGATTTTAGGGATCGGAAAATTTTGGAGACGATTTCAGCGATTTTAGGGATTTCATTTTTGAGAGAGAGAGAGAGAGGAGAGAGAAAGAGGTTTGGTTGCGGTCAGACGGGCTTTACAAACTCAACTCCTAAACCCACTAACAAATATTAAGCCCATGAACAATTATTTGGTCTATGGAAACGTTTTTCATTAAATGTTGTATTAGTTACTGTAAACTGTTACGATAGATATCTAACGCAACAGTTAGAACCGTTGCGCCTTAACCGCTGCAATAGATCAATTATGTGGTAGTGTATTTAAGTCTTTATATCTCCTGCAAAAAATAAAGAAACATATCAAATATCATGTTAGCAACAAAACCAACCCACTACCGCATTAAATAACGTATACTGCCCCTATTTTAACTAATAAACTAAACTATGGAAGATCAATAAAGTGATGAATAGACATCCCAGGTAAGTTACATCATTTTCATGTGTGAATGTGGAAGAAACTCGATGGACACACAGGAGAAGGTTGTAACTTACTTGCAAAATCAGTAGGTAAAGGAGGAAAAATTATAAATGTAGTAGAACGGTTGTCCAGCTTAAATCTGTTTGACAATGGCGATTTTAATAGAGCAAGAGCACTGGAAGATGATATGCGCATAAGCGGTATAATCCACTGCACAAGTTTGGTATGATGCCGATACGTGCTCTTTTCCCCATTTCCATTTCCATTTTGCTACCTCGTCATCTTCATTTTGCTAAAGTTGTCTTTGGTCCACTGCAGGGCGGTATAATATAACGAAATAAAAAAATGAATAGATTTAT